TGGTGATCCGTCACTTCCAATAAAGGGGTTCATTATTCATTGTCTTTAGTAAGGTTGGAAAGGTGTATTTAAATCTAAGTGGGGGAGAACCATTTGGATTTCTAGGGATAGAATCAGGTGCGGAACAAGGAAGAGTTCCACATCTTAGTCGAGAGGGAAGGCAGTTTAAGTGGCAGTCTGGATAGAGGATGCACAAGGTTGGGGGTTCAGAAACTTTTAACAGGGTGGCACGTTCGTAGTGATGCATGGAAAATATGTGTTTGGATACAGGTTGAGGGTCTGTGTTAGAGCTTCTTTGCCTGTTCTTGTTTGATGAAGGCTTTAGGGTTCGGGTTCGAAGCATGACCCAAACACCTGATTGGGATATAGTCGATGCGGTTTTGACTCGTGATTGATTGAGGGTTGGTATGGTATATGGAGGGCAAGACCATGAGTTACGCTCGTGGCTGATATGGGAGCGTTATAAGACTACGGGTAGCCATAGCATACCACATACCAAACACATAATCACATACTGGTTCTAGCCCACTGCTTCGGGCCCCGCCCGATATCAGACAAATCCGGCATCGGGCCCCGCCCGACATCGGACCGAAGCTCGGTATACATATCATATCAATAAGCATAACATAAACATAAACATAAACATAACATGAAAGCTAACATCCCTCGGGCTTGCCCCGACATCAGAACTAAATCTGGAACACATAATCAGACACATGCAAGAATCACAAAGACATCAAGCATTCTAACTGCATCGGGCCCCGCCCGGCATCAGACCGGAGTCTGAAACATAAAACCTACATAGGGCTAACCCCGACACATATAATCATACATAAACGGGCCGGCCTTGGTGGCTTAGACCCGTTCCTACTGGAAGAGAACTCACCTCGCAATACTGACTGCTGAAAACTTGAGCGAGGAATCCCTGTCTGCTGCTCCGACGACTCTCCGACTATTAATTCCATAATAACACTTAATCAGAATTTGCTAATCCTCTGTTAGGGTAAAATGACCATTTTACCCCATGTCAAAGTCAAAGTTAAAGTCAAGGTCAACTCCTAGTCAACCCAACTCGTCGAGTTATCTCCTAACTCGACGAGTTCTTGAATGCTTAAACCCGTGGTCAACTGAGTCAACTCGTCGAGTCCCTTAATAGACTCGCCGAGTTCTTGCCGTCCTAACAATCGGGACAACCCGCTACGACTCTTCGAGTCCTTCCCTGGACTCGGCGAGTTCCCCTGTCTGATTAAAGCCATCTCAATGGATTAAGCTCCTACCATTCAGATCTATGTTCCTTAGTTCGTTTGCTCACTGGAAAGGCCACTCTAAGGGTAAAGTTTCCAACTTTACCCGTTCATAACTCTTCTTAAAGGGTTTAGACAAAACCCTAATTCCTTTAGGACATGAATCTTGTCCAAAAAGCCTTAAAATCTCAAATCCACTCATGCAAACCTAGATCTAGGGTCTAGCCATCAGATGATCACTGAAAGTCTCAAGCTTGCTTCCATGCATGGCCCTTTTGGGCTCAAAAGGCCATAAATACTTCATTAGCACTTGCATGAGAACTCTAAGGGCATAAAGTTTGCACCTTTATGTCCTCATAGCCTCTCAAGGCACTAGATCTGGAAGGACAATTCATGGGTCAAACCTTACCCATAAGTTAGCAAATCTTGGACCAAAAACCCTCAAAAGAGGTCATAAATAGATCTAAGAAGAGAATGATCAAGTTTGAGGCTTTATTACCAGAAAATGCAGAGAATGAAGTGTAGCTCCTGGATCTACTTCTTTCCCTTTGAACCTTCTATCTTCTTCTCCTTCCACAAGCTTCAAAATACACAACAACACTCAAAAATGGAAAGAACAAGCTCCAAATCACTCAAGGTGGATTAGGGTTTCGATAATAGGGTTTGGAGGTGATGGAGGCTGGGGTGGAGGCCAGATATGATGCTTAAATAGGGTGCAAACCCTGAATATTCGGGTTTCCCCCTGATGGACCTACTCGCCCAGTCCAGGTTCGGACTCGTCGAGTAGACCATTTAAAACCCGCGACCAAGCTGGCATCTACTCGACGAGTTAGGGATACCAACTCGTCGAGTAGCTCTTACAAAATGAATACTTTAGTAAATTAAATACGTACCCGGAACGGGGCGTTACGTACATGTTGTGCAACGATCATGGTGGTATGTTATGTTTACCATAAGAGAGTACAACCAATAAAAAGGTTTGAGCTTTCAATTTTTTGTTGACTAGCTTTTTTTGAATGACAATTTATGTAAAAAAGTTAAAGTTATTTATTTTTATTTTTATTATTTATAAACTTTACCTATAAATCTACCACTTCATCATACTATTTTTCACACAATATTTTTCTTACTCTATTACAGTCACATACATACATTTTGCCAACTTACTCTCCCACTCTAAGAACAGGATATTGAGATCATGAAGGAAACCAAAAAATATTTAAAAAAAACGTGACTTGCAAATCAGAAAAGAATGATTTGAAAATTTGAAGATGAAAGTCGATGATTACAGAAGGGATGATCTAACGCCTTGTTCTCGAGTTTTTTTAATGAAAGGAAGGGGATGAAAAGAGATGAAGGAGAATGGAATGAAAAGAAATAGAATGAAAAGATAGATGATTAATCGGTTCTTGAGTTACACTGTGTTCTTGAGTTTTTTTAGGAGAGAAAGGGAAGGAAAAGAGGATTGAGAGGGAGAAAGGTGTTCTTGAGTTTTTTTAATGAAAGAAAGGAAAGGGGAGGAGCGGATTGTAGTGGGGAGGGAAGAAGAAAAGAGGCAAGCTCTCTTTCTGCTCAAATTTGGGCGGATTGAGAAGGAAACCAAAAAAAGATTCAATTTACTCTCATCTTCTTCTTTGATGAAGCAAAGAGGGATAAAACATAATTTGACAGTAAACTTTCTTTCCTTCTCCTTGAACTCGAGAACGCATCTATCCCCTCTTGTGTCTCCTTCCATATTCTTCCCTTTCTCCCCCTCCCATCCCTTTCCTCCCCCTCTTTATAATTTAAACTCAAGAACACAACGTTAGATTGAAATAGAATGAAATGGAAGTATTTCAACCTTTTGGCACTTCCCTTCCCAACCCTCCCAATAGAATGAAATGGAAGTGTTTCAACATTTTTGTACTTCCCCTCATAACCCTTCTAAAAATAGAACGATGAAAAAGACACATATTTTGATTACTGTCTAACCTATTTTGCACTTCCCCTCCTAACTCTCTCAAAAATAGGCCCATCAATCTCAAAAATAGGCCCATGAAAAAGACTCATATTTTGATTCCTCTTCCCATTCCATTCCATCCTTTTTCGTCTCTTCAAAAAACCGTAGAATACATTAACCTCCAAACCATTCCATTCCACTTTTTAAATAAACTCAAAAATAGGATGTAAAGATCTTTTTGCAGTGAAACCAAACGATCAAAGAAGATATAAAAATATGTAAATTTATTTTCTAGTGTTCGTTTATTTTTTTTTTCCTTAAATTTTAAGCAATGTAATATTTTTCTTAATGAAAATCTAATAATTTTATTTTAGTTTTCATTGGAAAAAAAATGATGTTTGGGTTTGTGTTGTGGTGCGGTGGGTATCACTCGTTACAATCATCGGCTGGGGTTTTGGAACATGGAAGAGCCGCTAAAAATCGATCGAACAGTCGCGTAAACCTTGATTCCGAAGAACCGCTGGAATCAAAACATAATCGAATATTGGAAGTTTTAATTGGCTGAATCAAGTATAGAATAGGAACATAGGATCACACAAACATTCGAACATAGAATCGAGTTCTGGAGTTTTCAGACATAGAATCAGACGTTTTGGTGGTATCGAAGCATACAACCTCAAAATTCGATCTCTGTATGTTACCCTGCACCTTGTTTCATTATTTTCTGAAGCTGTTTTCCGTCATTGTTCAAACAGAAAGAAGAGATGGCTACGTGTTCCAAAAAGTTTAAATTCTTGTCTGAGAGTGATGATGATGACCCTTCTTATAGTGTTCAAGAAAATGATGAACTAAATGATTGCTTTATCAGATAATGATGTTTCCTTAAATCATGTTTTAGATGTTGAGTTAGGTTGGGGTCCATGAATAACAGTGCAGAAGATAACTTTTTGAACAGTTGTGTGATGAGCATGTGTTATCTCTTGATTTAGAAACAGAAGAAATTGTATGCCCATTGTGTTGTAGAATAATTGTTTTAGAGGTTTTTATCATGGTTTCCTCAACCAATTTAGGGTTTCCACCAGATGAGTGGTTGATATAATATCTTAATGTAACACCTCCGTATTTACAATCATTGTATTTGTTAGGACTTATATCATTGTATTGTTAAATCTTTATCTGAATCATATCAAGTTTAAAGTTTTGATCTTGGATCTGACTTGTATGTGTAGGGGCCAATGGAAACAAAAGTAAAATATTATAGAGATCTACTGAGAGAGAAATGAGAATCTGAAGAAAGCTTCTGCTGAAATTTCACAACGGAATTTGAAATAACTTTTAATCAGTGGTATTAAGGAGATCAAGCAAAATTTCTGAGGGATTTCAGAGGTAATCTCGAATTCTCCTTGCTGTATTTTATTAATTTTGTAAGAGTTGAACATATTATTGTATATCATTATGTGAAGAAAATTGGTAGATGATAGATTGATTTCACTTGGATAAGAGAAATATGAGTTCTATGTAAGAATCCATGATTAGTAATAAATAGTTGTAAGTAGGCGACAAAGAACACATGTGGGATCAAGGATGAAGAATTTGGTAGTTAATTTTGAGAAGATTGCTTATAAATTCGAATCCAACATAGGATTATTAGATTATGCTAGTGACGGCATATGGCTATCCCCTTTGGAAAATTACAGCGAAATCCAAAATGTTGAAAAACAAATTTATAGAACTCTTGACTTGAAACCTTGATCATTTTCATATCCTTTTAATTTTTTATTATAACATCATAACCAGAACATAATTTTGAATTTCAATTACAGTTTCAAGTAATCTTCAGGCGCTCCAATCTTAGATAGATCCACCTCAGCCTCATCATTTGAGGATGAAGCCCCAATTATTTCATCATCACTACGCTCGATGTGTTGCTTCATTTCATCTAGTTTAGATCTTAGTTGCATGAGCCCATGTATCCCAAGGCTTCCGATATATTCCTCATACGTTTCACAACCCAACGTCGCCTTTAAATGTTCTTTCAACATCTGTCCCCGTTTCTTCTCATTTGCTAATTGCTCATTCAATTCATCGAGTTCTTGATTGAGATTCTGCAATCTGGATTCATTGTAAGATTTCTTAAACCTTGCGATGAAGTCATCTGGTTGTTGGTCGGGTTGATTCAAGTTGAGAAATTTGTTTATGATGAAAGGAACACCGGGGCTTCCAAAAGAGAGAGGCTTTCCACTTAAGGAGAAGACGATGATTGCAATCTGTACGCCACATAGCGTCGCGAGCTCATTGGCTTTCTTGAATAATCCGCCATATCGCTTTGTCAAGGTAACCGCTCGCTCCTTTTCATTTTCAATTCTTTTCAGCTGTATCTTCTTCCGACCACTTCCTCCTTTTGGTAATCTTGCCATGCTTTCAACTCTAGAAAATCTGAAAGATTTCAATAAATGTGCCAATGTGAAAGAGTATGAGAATGGTTGTGAAAGGTTTTGATTTATGAAAGGTATTTATAGCATGCTGATTTTAAAACTCTATAGTTAATTTTCATATTTTTGTTGACCCTTTTCCAACTTTTATAGATATTTAGTAAATAAATGAACATATTAATATTTACTAAGTTTGACCGCTTTTAATTGTTTGTAAGAGGTTGGGGCCATTTTAATGAGAAGGCAATCGCATGCGCTACACGTGTAATTTATAAAGTTGTTAATAAAATTTAAAATTAAAAAAAGAGTCAAAACTAGTGACAACCAAGCATCAATAACACAAAATCTTATTGATATAGGCTGTAATTTTTAATTTCAAGCCAAAAAATGTCTTTTAGTCATTAACCTGATGTTGACCATAAGGAACGCAATAAATCTCTCATTATACCCTTTCGATTTAAACAATTTGTATTTTTTTAGTTGGTTTTTACTTTTTATGGACATAAGGGCATATTTTAGACATATGTGGAATATGAGGGCAGACTTAACATACATGTCCAACATAACTTTGTATGTTTTATGGAAATGCACTTGTTCTGTACATATGGTTTAGCCTTTTCACTTTTACCCTCAACAGTCTTTAGAATATTTACTTTATAGTAAAATGTAACTGCCAATGGTCTATGTATATACAGAAATTTGGTAAAAGAAACCAACAATGACTATAGATGTATTTGCAACCTAAATAGTCAATGCCAATTAGTGTATAAGTTTGTCCTCACATATGTCATTGTTATTCCATCACAAACATGTCTTTTGTTGATATGTAAATGAGCTGTTGATAATTGCAAATTAGAATAAGACGAGAGATACCATCTTCAAAAAAAAAAAAGAGTCCACATTTGTTATGTGAGTCAAACTGACCATTATTATCTTCAAATTGATAAGATTTATTTCCTTTTTCTACTAAGCTGAATCATGGTTATATTTAAATATGTGAATGGTATTGGAAGATATACCTCTTAGAGATAAATTGGCACAATAGATAATGTATTTAACAGTTTCTTCACTTCATACCTAAAAAAGTTATTTGTCACCAACTTAAAGCCTCAACAAACCATGTCATTTACATCATTTCTTTTCATTCAGTGTGAGATCTCACAAATTTAAGTGTAACTGAACTCCTTCGATCAATGCTTGCATGTTCAAGTAGCAGATCTTTAAATCATATCAAAGCTTTTCTGTAACTTACCTTTACATGACTGTTTGCATCCATATGTCTACAGTTGTTGAAGCCTATAATTCCAAGTATTTCTCACATAACATGTACACGCTTGTTCTTTCAAATAACATCTATTATATATGTGTTTTAGAATTTTCTTTTTAAATTGCTAAACATAAAAGGGGAAACAATTTCAATTGAAGGTTTTAAATCAACCCCAACCAGATATTATTGTTACTTTATCAAACCAAGCAAGGTCTCTTAGGACAACCTGTCCAATTTTCAAACCAACCCTACAGCATATTATATCAAATAAGTAAGGTCTTTCTGCTCTCCAGTTTTACATAGATCCGCTTCATACACATCATTTGAAGAGGAAGACCTACTTGTTGTATCTTCTTTACCCTCAAAATTCCCCATTCAGCTCTTCCAATTTGTGTTTTAGTTGCATTAGCTTACATATGTCAAGGCTGCCTATATATTCCTCATATGTTTTTCCCACCAAACGATGGTTTTATACTTTCTTGGATCATTTGTACTTGCTTCTTCTCATTTACCAATTGTTCATACACTTCATTAAATTCTTGAAAACACTTGATGGTTGGATTACTGGTAAGAATCGAAACAGATTTTGATGAAATGATTTGATGGTTGATCAATTTGTTTTGAGTTGAGAAATTTGCTTATGACATAACAAATGCTCAGGCTGCCAAAAGAGAGAGGCTTTCCACTGATGGAGAAGAAAGTGATTTCCAGCTGTATGCCACACTGTGTAGTGAGCTTACTGGCTTCCTTGAATAAGCCACATTAGCACTCGGACAAGGTAATCTTGATGGGTTATGTGTCAAGGATGAGTTGCGGGTCAGTGGGTAATCCACGGGTCACCAGTCATGGAGTGGATCACAGTTGAATAGTTTATGCCAGACGAAGTATTCAGAAAGTGGGTGTTACCAAGTCTTGTGATTGACCGAGTATTATGGATAATAAGGAGGAAATAGTTGTGTTGCTCCAGCAAGACAATGCAGAAAAATTACAAAATCTGCCAGCAATTAAGCCTTCTGCTTTAGTATTCCCGTTTTGCCCTTAGACCCAAGAACAAGCAATGACAATACCAAGATAAAGAAAAGTAAAATAGAGAAATAAAGAACAACAGATTTAACGTGGTTCAGCAAAATTTGCTTACATCCACAGAAGAGAGAAGACTTTTGTATTAGGTTAAGGAGTAATTTACCTCACTCTTTTGCCCCTATTACAAAACTTACGTACAACACTCTTTACAGCTGAAATCAGCATATAAGCAAACATACATGGGCCTACAAACATTGGGCTATTAACTGGGTCATTTAACCCAAAACAGTTGGGCTGACCCAAGTCAACTCAAGCTAAGATCTTTGGGTTGACCACTTACAATTCTCTACCTCGAACAACATTTGATAGACCTCAAATTTTGGACGATACACCAAAGAAGAAATTGCACACCCTGATATGAAGAACTCAATCCGGCTGCACCATTTGACCATGGTTGCCTACGTACCCACATCTGGGATCAAGCCACCGTAGTTCACTTCACCGGGTGAAAACTCCACCTCACCCTGACACCGCCCCGCAATGTTTTTGCCCTCAAGGGCAATCAACACTGATTAATATTAAGCAAGTTCAAGCAATGCTTAAACTTGCCACCTGGTACTACCTTGGTTAACATGTCAGCTGGGTTCTCATCAGTGTGCACCTTCATAAGAGAAATATCACCATCTTCTATGACATCCCGCACAAAATGATATTTGACATTTATATGTTTGGTACGAGCATGATAAACTTGATTCTTAGCTAAGTGAATTGCACTTTGACTATCACACCACAAGTCTACACAATCTTGCTCAAACCCCAAATCATCTAAAAAACCCCACAACCACAGGGCTTCCTTTACACCTTCTGTTATAGCCATATACTCAGCTTCTGTAGTAGAAAGCGCTACTGTTGCTTGTAGCATCGATCGCCAACTAACTGGAGCACCATGTATTTTGAACACATAACCAGTAGTAGATCGACATCTATCCAGATCACCAGCATGGTCTGAATCCACAAATCCAGTAATTCGACATGTATTTCCACCAAAGCATAAACCAATATCAGTGGTTCCTTTCAAATATCACAAGACCCATTTCACAGCTTCCCAATGTGCCTTCCTTGGGTTCGCCATGAACCTGCTGACCACACTGACCGCCTGTGAAATATCTGGACGTGTACACACCATGGCATACATCAGATTGCCGACTGCACTGGCATAAGGCACACACCCCATGTACGTCTTATCTTCTGCTGTAGAAGGAGATTGTCTACTAGAGAGCTTAAAATGTGGAGCCAATGGAGTCACGACTGGCTTGGCATCTTGCATCCCGAACCTCGCAATGACCCGCTCAATGTAGCCTTTTTGGCTCAAGAACAATCGATGTTTCGTCCTCTCTCTTCTAATCTCCATACCCAATATTTTCTTGGCAATTCCCATGTCTTTCATCTCAAACTCTTTACCAAGTTGAGATTTCAGCCTATCTATCTCCACCTTGCTCTTCGAAGCAATAAGCATGTCATCCACATACAAAAGAAGATAAATATAATCACCTCCATGAAGCTTCCGCATGTAAACACAACAGTCATACAGACTTCTGGAGAACCCATGCTTCAACATGAAAGAGTCAAACCGCTTGTACCACTGTCGAGGAGATTGCTTCAATCCATATAGTGATTTCCTCAAGCGACATACCTGACTTTTCTTATCAACAACCTTGAATCCATCAGGTTGATGCATATAGATTTCCTCATCCAATTCTCCGTGCAAGAAAGCGGTTTTTACATCGAGTTGTTCCAGCTCCAAATCACGATGAGCAACAATACTCAACAATACTCGGATAGAAGTGTGTTTCACTACCGGAGAAAATATCTCATTGTAGTCTACTCCCTCTCTTTGTGCAAACCCCTTTGCTACTACTCTTGCCTTGTACCTTGTACCACCGAGTTCTGAAGAATCCTCCTTTTTCTTGTACACCCACTTACAACCAATAGCTTTCTTTCCTACGGGTAATGGGACCACCTCCCAAGTTTGGTTCTTTCGAAGAGACTCCATCTCTTCTTCCATAGCAGCCAACCAACTCTCATTATTGCCATTCTGAATAGCTTCCTTGAAGGAGACCGGCTCATCTTCCTCCATCGAGAGTGCATACTCAACCAAACTTGCATGTCCGTAGTGTTTCAAGGGTTGATCAGACCCCAACTTTTGAACTTTCTTATATGCTCGCCTCGGCCTAGTAGAAACCGAATTGTCCCCGAGCTCTTGTTCCTCTGGTTCGTGTACATTTTCTTGCTGAACCGTCTCATGTTCAATATCATCGTGAATACCACCATGATCTTCCTCGTGAACACGACTAGAACCTTGTTGGCTTTTAGGTTCTATATTAACTACTTGAGACTTGACCGTCTCAATGTCATCACCATTTGGGACCGTAGCTTTTGAAGAAGCTACATTGGAGTTCTCATCAAAAGTAACATCTCTGCTGATTATAAACTTGGAATCTTCCAAACACCAAAGACGATAGCCTTTCACACCTGATGCATATCCCAAGAAAATTGCCTTCTTGGCTCTTGCTTCAAGCTTTCCCTCACTAACATGATAATAGGCTGTGCACCCGAAGATTTTGAGTTTCTCATAATCTGCATGTTCCCATGACCATACCCTATAGGGTACATTTCCATCTAGAGATGCATGAGG